GGCGTCGACAGATTTCAGTTTCAAATCCATGATTTGCAGTGGTAGTTGCTTGTAGTCCAGTCGTCATCTTCCTACTATTTCTTGCTCTTCCATTTTCACAACATTTCTTCCCTAAGTTATAGACCATACTTTTCATTGATAGAAATCGTGAAAAAATGAGAAGTCCGACATGGTTAAAAGTGGAAAAATCCAAAATTTGAAAAATTTGCGCGCTCTCGCCGCCCACGGAAGACGTTTTTATAAAATTACAACTGCCAGACAATCTATGTACAAAGCTACAGCTGCCTAAATAATCAATTTCACCAAAAAATCTTGCCTTTGAAGCAATAAATAAGAGCCAGTTTTTAGGAAATAATGCCTCTTATCTCGGTAACGGAAAAGACCTGAGAAGAGATATTTTCGAATTAGTCATGTCCTTATGCTAATAAGGAACTTGCAAAAAAGATTTTTCTTCAACTTGTCTGCAAAAAAACTCCAGCCAAATCTATTTCGACTTCATATGTTATACAGTTTTCATTTAATTTCTTTTGTAGTTTCCAGATAAATACGGATCATTAGAATAGAGTGGAAATTGCACTTAGAAACTAACTTTTCCAATTGTATGTCCTCATCTCGTAATAGCAATTGAATTGAGCATCATTATAATACTTAGTTCAAGAGTAAGATACAATCGATAGTGTATTTTTGATCAAGAACAGCGAACCTATTGAATTTATATTTAATTCTCACTGTAAAAATTTGTGAATTTTCTATTATATTCTTTCGTACATCACAAAATATTAATAGAGGTGTTAAAAATCACCTGTATTGATCTGAATTGTTTTTTTGTCGCTCTCTATTACAAGGTTAGTTCTTCCTTCACCTAAATGCAGGCTATTATCGATTTATTGGTAATAGAAAGAAAAATTATTAGCAAAACGTTGTTACCATGTGTCTAGTAACTGAAGGCAAAATACGTCTCAATTGCGCATCAAGAGTGTCATTCAGATTCGTTAAAATTTCGCGCATCCACGATGGAGAAGTAGTTAAACTATACAATACTTCGTTGAACTTTTTCGTAATATCCATTTTCTCTAATATTTTTTAATTTTCCATATTACAAAAGTAATATTGAGAAACTCGCAGTTGATGCTCACATGCTCTAATCATACTACGCATATTCGATTGTATCATCACTATTTTTTTTCATTATAAAATCTTTTATCACCCTGGAACATATGATGAACTGTATGCTAGGCTATTTAAACTCTCTGGATTTCTAAATGCCACCAATTGGAACATTGACTTGAGTCTGACTTACTTCGAATACATAAATAGCTAGATTGTATATGTGATGAGTAATACACGAACAATAAGTATTACTGTTAAAGATAATACTATGATTTAAACGAGATCCATTGAAAGAAAGAGTTGATAATATGAGTGTAGTATATATAAACACTATTTTGTATTGTAATAGAGTATTGTACTTTTGTGGGAGTGAACTCTTGACACTAAGAGGGAATGGCTATGGATGAGTGAATTCACAATTTGTTTTGTGATTACTCTTTAATTAAAGCTTGACCGAGTAATGTACAAATTCAAGTGTTTAGGTTGGTCTAACAGAAAGTTTCTAATTACAATTTATGCATTTTAATTCATACAATTTAAATAGTGGTAACGATAAAGAGAAAGAATCTAATAAAATTCAATCTTTAGACTATTGAATTTGTTAACGCACGACATTGTTTTGGGGTTCAACCATCGTCTCCAAATAGACCCAGTGTTGTGGGATGATTTATTTCTCTTTGATATATTTCAAAGAGAATATTCCCTGATGATGTTATAGTTTTCTAATTATGGGATTTACAAGCGAGGATGAAGTCGTCTGATAAAGTAAACCAAATATTTTACGCGATCATTATTGATGTACTTTCTTTAGTAATCATTTTTCTAATCAACAGTTATTTTTGTTCTATTTTTCTAAAGTATTTCCTATTATTAAAAGAACATGTTAAAAAGACAAAAAATTACTGAACAGTCAAAGAGTGTTTTCTACACAAATTTTGATTTTTTTAAGTAAAATCAAATACATTGAGAAGAAATTACAATTTGCAATTATAACTGAAGGCTCTAAACAACGAATAATACGTACGACTAGGCTATTGCCTACTATTAAACTGACAGGAAACAAAGATCATTCATTCCAATTCAAACATTACAAGTCTTTGAAGTGTCTTACTTCTTTTCATTAAAATTGTGGCATATAACCGAACTGAGATCCGTAACCATTGTTCCACAGACCATCTTGTCCTCCTGCGAAGCCTGATCCGTACTGATTTATACCACTTCGATTCAGATTGCCGTAACCGCCGTTAAATGGTACGGAAAACGATGGTGGTGGAAAGCCGCTTCCCATTTGCGCAAATTGAGGAAACATTGGTGAAAATCCTTGAACAAATGGATTTGTATATTTATTAGCACCAGAGAATCCATCAAACATCATATTCCCACCACCGTATATAGGCAATACAGATGGAACCGGTCCAGTTGCAGTAACACCAGGGGTCCATTTTCCTAGATTTTGATACGGCGATAATCCTGCATACATTTGAGGTGTCATTTGAAATGCTAATGGCGCCGATAACTGAGGTGTTCCTTGTACAGCCGGTTGTAGCCCAAAACCAACAGGCATATTGAATCCGCCTCCGATGGGAGCCAGTTGATTTCGATACCGAGATTGTGAACGAGGTCGCTGCTGTTTTTGTTTTTGTTGATGATAATATTGTTGATATTGTCTTTCATATTTATCAACTTTAGCTGGTTTATCATTTTTACCACCATTAAATAAACCCATGACTGTATAGATCTCGACGCTTGAAGCTGTTGTTGAAGACGAAATAGATTGAGGCGACGTCGTTTTTGAAATCGTACTTGAAGTAGTTAAAGAAATATTTTTATGATGTTGTGATTATAACGTTGCTATAGTTAGTTTCACAAGTTGTTACAAAATTTTTTTATCGTTGTTCGATAAGAGATGTGTGTGTGCGCGTACAGAATTTTATGGTGAACAAAACTAGTTTTGAATATAAATTGTGTCGCGTTTTTTTTACGTTATACGTCACAGTTGAGTGATTTTATATGATCACTACGATGAACATTTTCTTCTTCTCATATAGAATATCAAAAGAAAATGCTTTTCTTTTCCATGTTACTATATTCATTTATGTGTAGGAAGATATTTTGATCCCATTGATAGGTGTATCAATTATATAGATGATGATGAATGGCTGAACTTCAATAAGATGATGATCGCTTCCTCATGCGCAAAAACTAAATAGCATCACAACGATTCACTGTGAAACATATTACTCTTTCATGTTTCTCACACGTAACCTTATATGTGCGATGCTTTCAAAATATATTGTACTAAAATTGTTGTTGCCATCATTTGTATGATAATAACTTGCCTTTTCTGCCAAAATCAGTCTCGTTTTGCATAACATTTGTCAAAACATGATGGATGAATCTCCCCATCTAGTAAAATTCATTGTGTTCTACGGAAAACAAGCTATTGACTTGTACTATCGTCCGTAGATACTCTGAATTAACGATGGTCCTTAATGAGAAATATGCTATTTCTTTGTATGAATTCGTTGAAACAAATTTGAGAATAAGTATCTTGATTTTACGTATCTTCTGAATCGTGTGTCTCTTTTTAATGAGTTACTTAACCCCCACACGCATCACACTATTAAAACATTTTTTGATATAAACGAATCTCATTATAGAATACATCATTGGTTGTGAAATAAGTATCGAATATGTTAGACGAATACGAAATGCATATCTGTCATCATCAATCATTCTCATCATTCTAATGAACAAATAAGAAATAAGACAAGTGTATTCATGTGTATGTGGGTATGTGTGTGTGTGTGTGTGTAAATGAACGATACACGATAAAGCTTGCTTATGCAACATATGATTGGCAATGACAAGAACTTTAATTTTACCAATCCAAGTCAACGCTGAACATACTGAACTTGCACATCACTTTTGATTCGCATTTGTGCAGGTAGAATTTTATACATCTACACACTTGGTTTACTCCAGTCAGTATTTACAGAAGTTTCAAACATCAAAAATAAATTTGGAAGACTTCGTTTGAGACTTATATGTATGATCCTTGATCAAACTGCTTCTTTCTTCATATCTAGCTTATATAACATGCACTAATTATGGAAATTTCAATAGTGATGAATTACATCATCTATTTTCCTTGCTTTTACTTTTCCTTCTATCCCATATATATATTTCGAATAATGTATGTACCTTATGTGCATGCAACATGTCCTTTATTGAATACATCAATTATTCTCTGTTCATTCTCTCGTATTCAATGTACAGTACCTTAAGTACTCTACAGTCTCCTTCATGCTCCTAGTCTTTACTCTTCCAATTTGTTTGCGAGGTAATCAAAAAGAAAGACAAGTTGATTACGAGGCTAAGCTTGCGTACCATTGCACACGAATTTTTTATGTTCTCGAGAATCAGTTTGTTAGGGTGAACTGGCTATGCGTTCTAGAAAATTAGGCCTAAACCTGTGTCAAACGAGAATGCAATATATCACAATTTAATATTTTATTTCTGTTGACCCAATAAATTTTTTTGACAGCACCTTTAATACGTTTAAACACATTTAATGAATAAAAAAAAAATTTTAACGTCTTCGCATATCTTAAAAGTTAATGCATTTAGGAGTCTTAACTTTTTTAATTTTTCTAATGCATTTTTACAAATTGAACATCTTCAAATGTCTTATTAACTACCACATTTAAACTTCGTAAATTATTTCACACCTTCAAATGCATTTAAAAAAAAACTCTTTCGTTTTATGGAGTCACATGTATTCAGATTTATTTGATGCATTCATATGCCTTAAGAATTAATATATTCAAATGCGTGAAATCGTTTAACGTATTCGAATGCATTAAAATTGTTTTTTCTAAATTTAATACGTTCACAGGTTAAGAGCTGTCCAATGAGTTCACAGAAGTTAAAAAATAATGCATGTGAATGCATTAATGCTTTTTAAAAACAAAAATGATGCTATGATTCTATTACGAAGTGTTCTTACTTTTTTCTGACAAAGTCATCGGATTTCTCTCAAAAAGTTAGGTTCAGGGTGATTGCTTCGACTCTATCAGACATAGTATAGAGGGCCTAGAAACTTTTCTAAAAACTGATACTTTCTCTTGATCTTCTATGAATACAGTTAGATGCATTCAAATTTAATGTGTTTTCATGAATTAAATAATTTTAATGCATTTGAATATATTAAAATCCTTAACACCTTGAATAACGTGGAGTTTATAAGACTTCAAAAGTCAAAAATCGTCAAAACGCGTCCAAAACGGTATTGATTAATTTCATTTTAACGCACTTAATGCGTAAAATAATTCAATATAAAACTAAAACGCATTTTTTTTGCTAGACTAACACATTAAACTATCTATTTTAATTTATTTCAACGCATTAATGACCTTTTAACAGATGCGAACTTTTTCGTTTACTTTTGGTATATAAATTTTAACGCATGTAAATATTTCAGAAATTTTTTAAAGTAAATAACGCGTGTAAATTTATTACTATTTCATGCTATTAAATGCGTTAAAAAATGGTTAATACCTTAAAAAGAAATTTTTGGTATTAAAAAAATTCATTGGAAACCCTCAGTCTGCATTCTCTTGTCCAGACGTATCAGCCAAAAAATGTAAGTCTGTAATGTTTTGTGAAAGTCATAGTACTTCAGTCGAGAAACATACAGAGCTGGGGAACATCTTATTTTGTAGCTTAAAGATTTTTCTTTCAAATGGGGATTGAGCAAAGTCTCGCTGTACTCTAAAGATCAGCCTATAATTCGTGCCAATAAAGCCCTTTTGTATAAAACTGTCCTATACCAAAAACATTATGTCATTTTTTAAGCTAGGCAGCTGTTAGACTTTTCTTAATTACCATTTAAAAGAAAAACCTTCAAGCTACAAAATGAGACATTCGTCCGCTCTGTATGTTTTTCGGCTGAAGAGCTATGACGTTCATAAAATAAGAGTAGTATTAATAAACTAATTGTAATAAATTTTCACGCTGAGTTGTTGTCAAAGTTTGAATTGATATTCATCGTGTAGCACATTTTTTTTACTGGAATAATTTTAAACCCAATATTTTCACTGCAATCCATCTGAAATATACTTGACTTTATATTGAAGTGACGACACTCTCATGCATGACAAGAAATTATTTGATTTTCTTATATTCGAGATATGCTTGCGCATTCGTGAATAAATTTCTTCGGTTGAGGATAGATGCTGTTAAAACCTTTTGAAATTGGAGAAAAAAGCTGCTCTACTATGTATATGAACTAAATTAAAGGAATTCAGCGCGCCTATTACTTACATTCAGTTCAGTATAAATTCAATAATATTACTGATTGTGATGTTGATTATAACGTTGTGTTGTTTGCTAATATGCGAAGTGAAGTGCCAACGTCTGTATACGAATCATACAATAATTACGACGTTTCTTCCTTCCAGCGAGAAAGCAAGTGATAATAAAGTGGGCATCATCTTCGCTGGTGTCTCTGCGGGTGCTACCTTCCTCGGTGTAATGGTCACGATGGTCTATAACTTAGGGAAGAAATGTTGTGAAAATGGAAGAGCAAGAAATAGTAGGAAGATGACGACTGGACTACAAGCAACTACCACTGCAAATCATGGATTTGAAACTGAAATCTGTCGACGCC